TAACCATATCTTCTATTCTATACCTTGCTTACTATAATCAATATTTGCACAGGACATTTCTTTCCTTAATTTATGTCTTAGGTCAAAGGTTACTTTCACACAGAAGTCTTCTATAACCACAATATCTGTGTGTATCCTCTACTACCACTCCTGTTACTTTGTAAGTTCTTAACTTGTTTGAATTTTTCAAGGCCCTGGAGATACTAATATATTCTCTCTCTCTCTCTCTCTCTCTGGAGATACTTATTCTCTCTCTCTCTCTCTCTCTCTCTCTCTCTCTCTCTCTCTCTCTCTCTCACACACACACACACACACACACATTTCTTTATTACATTATTAAAATGTAATGTACATAACATTTGCTCTTTGTCATCTTTTTCACCTATTTTTATAAGTTTTTGGCATATAGTAGGTATTCAATATATACTTGTTGAAGGAGATAAGTAACTTGCTTACAGTTGTTCAGTATTTAAGCTATTGCTAACAAGTAGAGAGAAATAATGACATAATGATAACAGTGTGTTAGAATGATTCTTCTGAAGCTAGAATTTTAAGTGGAAACTACATAAAACAAATAGGTAGAATCCGAATATCTCTAGTTTCTGTGTGAGAAACTATTTTATATTTATTTTATTTATTGGGGGGTCCTGGGAATTGATCTCAGGGGCACTCAACCACTGAGCCACATCTCCAGCCCTATTGTATTTTATTTAGAGACAGGGTCTCACTGAGCTGCTTAGTGCCTTGCTTTTGCTGAGGCTGGCTTGCAATCCTCCTGCCTTGGCCTCCGGAGCTGCTGGGATTATAGGCATGTGCCACCATGCCCAGCTATTTTTATTTTTAAAGCTTTCCGAGGTTTTCTGACACTCTTTCCAAGTTGGGACCAACACAATAAAGACTTGGGAATAGGAAATTTCAAGTGGAGGTTAAGAGAGGAGAAAAAGATTTGGGCATTGAATAATGGGAAATAATAATTAAAATTTTTCCTTCTCAATACTATCTTATTATAAAGTTCTAATTATTTGATATTCTGGTCCATCTGAAGGACAGAGTAAGCAAGGAGACCAAAAAAAAAAAAAAGGATTGGGGATATATGTCATAAGATTGTATTACTATGTTCAAATTCTTACCTATTAGAGGCACTCAATAAAATTTGATGGGTGGAAGGTATGTAGTATGCATTGTATGTATATGGTTAGATGATGTAACTAGTATATTCAGAAAATGGTTTAGGTATGTTCAATTCCACAATAATAGAATATAGCAAAAGCAACCACAAACTAGGAAAGCCAAACCTTGCTAAAAACTGCTCTTAGGAAATAAAGAATACCATGCTGTTTTTGTTACTATTGTATAAAGGCATGAATTGGTATGAACATACTCTATATACAAAGATATGAAAAACTGTACTCTATATGTGTAATAAGAAATGTAATGCATTCCACTGTCATGTATTTTAAAAAATAAAATCAATACAACTAAAAATAATAATAAAATAAAAGCAATGAAAGGTTCTCAAAAATGGTAAAAAAAAAAAAAAAGAAATAAAGAAAAAGTGGGGGGAAAACCCTACACAACATATGCCAGAAGGTTATAAGAACTCAAGAAAACCAAAGGGCTCATATTTTGAAATCAAGAAAATATAAAAGAGAAAAAAAGATTTCTTTAACTTGAAACCAAGGGAAGTAAGTGCAAAGACAGTAAAAGTAGTACTAAAGATAAAATTAGTAGTGGTTTTCATCACAGAACATCTAATATGCTTATAAATAATTTTCCAAGAACAGATTCAGGTGAGTTCAGAAAAGCATGAAATAAGTTGGTTACTGTTGAGATGAAGTCAATTTTCTAGGAGTGCTAATTCCAGTCTGAAATACAAGTAAGTTTAGGATAGTAATTCCATGTCTCAGAAGCCCTGCATGTTACAAAAAGAGGCATGCTGCATACCTAAGAGGGAGACTATGGACATGATCTTCAGCTCAAATATTCCATTCTACTCTTATGCTATGTTTAGATTTGGGAAATAGACTCAACTTGTCACAGACCAACCAAAAAAAGGGAATAGTCTTTTAACCTAAAGAGATTAATTTCAGATTTCTCATGGTGACCAGTTTCTCCAATATGAGTTTAAGTGGCACAGAGGTACCAGGACACAGACAATCCTGATTCAATTAATTCAGCTAAATTTAAAGAATGTGACTATGAGTATAGCTCAGTGGTAGAGCATTGTCTATTATGTATGAGGTTTGGGGTTCAATCCCAGCACTGGCTTGAGTGCGGCAGGAGGTAAAACACTTAAAGAATGTTTCTATATCAAATTGGTCATTGCTCCATAGTGCATCTTGAACTGTCATCTGTACAACACTAAAAATGTAATCAGAGTAAATCTAGATCCTTATATAGTATTTTAAAAATAAAGCTGTTTTGGTCCCAAGCACTTTGAGCTATAAATTAATATCAGGTATGTTTGGTGCTTCCACTCTAGTATATTTTTTCTCATGTGTTAAGGCAGGATGACAGTGCTACATATGCTAAGAAGTTCTTTAAGACTGAAGCTCTACAGCTTTACAAACCTGCCATCTGAAGCATTTATTTAATTCTTCAATCCTAATACTTGACAGTGTGACTACTGATTAAGTACTTTGCTTTCCTCACTGCAATGAATAAAGACAGATCTAATTTTTGCCCACAGACTTCTCCCAGTATATCAAGCAAATAATAGAATCTCTCTCTCCACTAACTGGAATCTGTTTGAGGCATGAGAAAAACAAAGATATAAATACAGGATTTGGAACATAATTTTTCTGTGGTGTTTTGATACTCAACACTAGTTCTTTACAGAATAAACATTACCTCTCTGCAGGACAACATCCTGTTGTGCGGGGACTATTCCCAAGAGTCTCATTAAGAGAGGTAGGCAGCCAGGGTTTGGTTCCTTTGGTCCACCCAAATCCAAATGCTACATTTCTAATGTTTGTTAACTTCTCAATTACCTTTTGTATTTTGAAGAAATGCTAGTTCTAAAAATATACCCTTTCTTCTATTGAACAGACTTAGAATGTACTTGTCATATACATGTCTCTGACTTTAAATTTGAAAATGAGAAAGTTTATGTATCATAAAACTTTATTTTTATAGATCTGATTCATCCAAATTATAATTAGTCTTCTAATCTTAACCAAAAGAAACTAAAATATTATTCTTAAATCATAAGAAAACATGAAAGTAGAAGTGACACAAACTCAACCAAGATGCAGTTACAATTTTATAATTCTAAAGAAATGAACTGAATTATGTCAACTGTCAAAGTATACATAACTAATTTAAACCCAATAAAAATATAAATGAATAAACAAATAAAAAACATAAATAAAATTCCTAATTAAAGCTGATATAGATCAGCAGCTGTCTTTTTACAATTTTAAAAATTACTGAGGACCCTAAAATAGCCTTTACACAGGTTATATCAAAATTTACTATATTATAAGTTAAAACTAAAAATTTTCAGAACATTGGGTAATTTTAAAAACATATTAGCATAAATTAACATTTTATGAAAAATTACTGTTTTCCATAAACAAAAATATTAGTGAGACAAGTGGCTTGATTTTACATTTTTTCAAATTTCTTTAATGTCTGGGTTAATAAAAGAGAATTAGACATCTGCTTCTGCACTCCATCAGCTACAATGTGTTGTTTTGGTTGAAGTATAGGCAGAAAATCTTTCCTTGCACATAGTTGGAAAAGGGAGTATTTTAATAGTCTTTTTAGATAAGTGTAGATATTCTCCCTGGAATCTACTACAAATCTCAGTAAGTAATAATTTATTAAAAGGCAGTTACAACGTGGACTATGTAGCCAAATCACTAAATTTTTAGCATTATATCGCATTAAATTCTTTAGTCTATTTGGAACTTTGAATTACTCTTCTATCCACAAATGATCTTGTAATTTCAGGAATTGTTCATTATAAAAATATGAGTTATACAGATCTGCCAAAATGTTAAAAAATGTAATTAAATAGTTAAAATTGCATTTGCTAATATCAGCAACCATATTATTAGAAAAGTATTTATCAACCTTTATCAAGTCATCAAGCCTAAGATGATGAATTTAAGTTTTCCAAAAGTGGAGTTCTTACTTCAAAGCTTTAGTTTTACCACTAGCAATGAATACAGTCAGCTGCTTTCTGAAGTGATTGCTCCAGGAAGAAAGCTTATGCTTTAAATTTTTTTCCAAGAAAATGTCTGCCAAATGATGAAGTCTAAAAAAAATATATAGTTTTAAAGTTTCTTTCTAGTAAAAATACAGTCTTAAATGAAGACTATTCAAACAATTCAAACACTGCAGAACTAACTACCTTTCTCCAGGTAACCATAATATATCAATATGCTATAGAAATGTTTATGCCTATTTCCCCTTTTTTCACTCAGGAAATTAAAAAGACATATACTCAAAAGTTGAGATTTAATAAAATTAAGGTTTACTGCATCATCATAGACATTCTTACAGGAAACTGGCTTTTTCATGATGAGTGTATGGTAAGGAAGAACTCAATGACTACTAATTCACTTTGCTGCCACCACCTCAATTTGTACCAAGGCACGAGGATTTTCACTTACCATTAGCAGTGCAAATATTAACACAGTAAAAAGTCAAATAACATGAGATCATAGAACCTTACAGAAAAGGTCTTGGAGACCCCCAGATTTCTGCAGGACACTGTTTGAGAGCCACTGGCTTAGATAATTCAAGATGTTAAAACAGAAAATATTTTATCTCACTTCTTAAAAGGAAATTTGTGGTGAGTAGTTTCATATCTTCCTGATATTCAAGACGCACAGTGAAGACTCATGAACATTCTAGAATAACTACTTGCAATGAAAAAAAGAAAAAAAAGAGGGTTCTGAAATTTTTTACAGCAAAAAATTCAAATATTTTATATATATGTTAAAAAGCACTTACAATTAGATTATACATATTACATATTATCAATGTCTTACCTTAGCTCTAGAGGAACTGACATTTTCCATATTTTCAATGCTGCAGATACAATTCTGAGAAACTTTCCGGCAAGCCACTCTGATATAGTCCCAGAAGCTACGAGGACTCTCATAACCAAACCAGGTTACTTGACCTTCAGGAGATAAATTGTAATACAAAATAAAAGAAAACTGGAATAGAAAATTAAAAATACAAGAACAATAAAATTCTGAAAAATAGAGAATACTATAGTGTGCTAATGTAAAAGGGGTATGGATTTAGGTGTTGAAAATTCTGAAATCTAATCCCATTCTACCTTTAGTTGTGTTACTTTGGAAAACTGACTTAATGAATCTGGATCACAGTTTTTCTTAACAATAAAATCAAGGCAAATGAAATTAAAAGTAATTAGATGCTAAAAATATCTTGTAGCTCAATATTTTATTATCTAAGACAGTCTTACAAAATGCACAAAAGACCTTCCTTATGTTTCCCGTATATGAGTTAAACATGAATTTAAACATCTCCAGGTGAATTTTAAACCTTACTTTGAAAAACAGAAAAAATACTGTCAATTCTTTTCTCCCTCTTTATAGGTTATTTCAAAAGGTGAAACAATGTATGCTCTATCCAATAAGCAAATAAAATCAATTAGCATCCCATATTCACTGATAATTCACAATCTTCTAAACATATTATAAAGCTCCCCTATGTCACTCATTTGCTCTCATCTAGTCACTAATCCATGACAACTCCAGGTATTTCCCATGCTCATCTCTCAAATTTGGGTAATTATGTATCTACTTATGACCAAATGCTCCACTAGATGTATGTTGTATTAATATTTCTATGTAGGGCTCTGAGTAGTGGGTTCATGAAAGCCATTTTTGTACTTATATTTTTAAGTGGGATATAAGAGACATCTTTCTTCATTTGTCTGCAGTGATAAGTCATCTTACCCAGGGAAGTTGCTTAAATCTTAATATAGAAAGACTTGCTTTTATATTTTAAATATGTGCCTCTTTATTGTGAATTATTTATTCATCTCAAACCTTCCCTTTCCTAGTAATAACTTCTTTCCAGAGACATCAAAAAGTGTTCCTGTCAGCAAGCACCATTTTAGAAGCAATGTCTAAGATGCTATTTAAATGGTTCTCAAGGGCAGCACATCTGAATAACTGGACTGCCTTTAGAAATACTCATCCCTGGTTTTCCTGCAAACTGAATAATCAAAACCATTAGGGGAGGGCCCAGGCATGGGTATTTTTTAAAACGTTTCCCTGGCATTTCTAATGATGTACTGATGGTTAATCAAACAACAGAAATCCAAACAGTCATGATTCAGCACTCAGGACATCTTAAAAGCCCCTCTCTTCCAGTAAGCTGTGTGAGATCTCTACAGTTAGTCCCACTGGTTGGCACAGCACCCTGTGCTTACTCATTATATTTTTTTTCTTTACTTGATTATCTCACATTAGGTGATAAAATCACTAAGGCAGTGATTGCATCTTATTTTCCTTTCAATCAATTTCCAGCACTTCACACCATGTTTGGCTCACAGTAGGCATTCAATAAATTACTTATTTTTTCAATAAATAAACTGATAAATTAGCACAAAACAAATCATCTTAATCACAATGAGCATAAAACCTTAAAATTTTAAAGTATTTTCATAGTAAGTTTTGGTGAGAATCTGGTTTTGAGTTGTCTGTATATAGATTACAATATCAAATATTTTAGACAAACATATTTACCTGTGTCTACATATAAATAAAAACACAAAGCACATGTAAATCTTTATTCAAGTAACTAAATAATTCAGTATCTCTTTAAAAATCATATCTTACTACTATAAATAGATATCTATAAGCATATTTAAATCTCTCTTCTTCCTCTTAATCTCTTTCCATCATTTTCCTTTGGCCACTCTCTTCTCTGAGGTAAAAAAATTCCTGCTGCCGGACGCGGTGGTACACGCCTGTAATGCTAACAGCTCAGGAGGCTGACACAGGAGGATAGCAAGTTCAAAGCCAGCCTCAGCAAAAGCAAGGAACTAAGTAACTCAGTGAGACTCTGTCTCTAATAAAATACAAAAATTGGGCTGGGGATGTGGCTCAGTGGTTAAGTGCCTCTGAGTTCAATCCCTGGTCTTCCCCCCAACCCCCCACCCCAGGCCAAAGAAAAAAAAATCCTGGTATAATACTTCCCTATAGTTTTTCTTAAGGATGCTTTTCAAGTTACTCACCTGTTAGCCCTCTGAAGGACTGATACAGGGGAGTAAGGATGCCTTGGAGGTTAATAACATGTTTTTTTTTTTTTTGAGTCAGGTGAATCTTAACTAGATCGAGTTCTAGCTATGTGATATTAACTAAATAACTTAAATTCACTGTATAAGTCTGAGCCTCTTCTATAAATTGAGAATAATGCTAGCATCTACCTGATATCATTAGGATTAGATGAGACAAAGTAGCATTGAGCCTAGTTAATACCAAATATTAGGAAAGTGTTCATTATTGCTTCTGTTATTACTGTTTAAAAAAAGTTCCCCTTGCACCACAAACAAGTAAGAATAATATGCAAAGTTAAATTTTTCTCATTACTTGCTGAGAATTTAGACAAAATTTTGAAATTTACTTTCTAATCCAACCTTTCACCATATCAACGCTTCCAAATGTATCTCCTCAAAATGTTTTTAGTCTCAACTAGTCTTCCTTGCCTTCCATTTTTTGACAACATTCTATAATTTTTTCAATGAGAGGTATAGCTACCAAGAAATGGAATACTACACACTGTCAGAGAAGAAAGAATCATAAGAATTCTCTGCTAGAGTTAAATCTCTGTAAAAGGCAATACAGGAGACAAAGTAAGAGAAGCAGGCAAAGAAAAGGCAACACTGTATTAACTAGTGCAACCACCCAGAGAGGTAAGCAAAGAGAAAGGTAAAGCAAAGATTTCCACACCAAGAATTTCCTTTGTAAGGAAATAAATAAGAGCCTAGCCCTTTTGCATTAGAGGATGATTTACTTTCCTACAATACAACTTGAAAACTTCTCAAGAGTTCCAAATGTCTGAGGAAAATAATTTGTAAGTTTTAAAGTATAGCTGTCAAAACTCTAAAATATAACAAAGCCCCATTATGGAGGAAAGGAAACAAATCAAGGCATGGGTTGAACAAGGAGTGGGCACTCCAAACCCATAGGACTGGTGCTATGGGTAGGCTACACTGACTGTAAGACTTTGACCCAAAACATAATGGCAAGATTTCCCAGATTACAGTCTGAGAGACTAATTAACAGATGGATATCATCAGGACTTGCAGGGCCTTAAATAAACCAGATTATCTTCACAATATCAACTTATCAACTCAACATACAAGATGTAAGGATCTTTCTTCCTGGTCCATGTGCCTGCAACATTTCAAAATGAGAATCTTATTCAAGACACTGAACTTTTCACATTCAGAAGGATGGACTTTAAGAGAAAGTAGATTCCCTTCAAAGAACCTCTCATGTAAATTTTCTACATATCCCAGAATTTTATTGAAATCATTCTACATCTATAGGGAATTCAATTTAATTAAATATAACAGTAGTGCTCAATTGGTTATTTCAGATATTATCATTATTTGAATATCACTTTTGTTTCAACATAGATTTATTACTAGTAAAAGTTCATAACTAATTTTTAACAGGAAGAGTAAAAAACCAAAGCTACAAGGTGATCTTGCCTTATTTAAAAATAAAGACTGAAGTAACAAATAACCACTCCTAAGATATTTTCATGTTCTTTAAACATAACCACAAAAGCAAATCAAATAGCAAGAAACTATTTTATGTCTTGGAGAAATTTTATTCTAAAGACGAGATATGCTATTACTAACAATTCTCTTTTTAAAGTTCTAGATGAAGACAGATATATAATATACTTTCAGTTATAAGTATTCTTAGAAGTTGTCACTGTTTACCAAAAATTTTGCAAAACTTACCCTCAAACCATCAATCCAATTTCAGTTAATTTTAAGCAGAAATATGTGGTGAAAAGTTCGTTGGACTAAAAGACAATCAGTTACTGACAGCTATGGTGTATTTCCCACAAAAATACCTCATTTTCAGTATCAAAAATGATCTGTGGCCAGGCAAGGTGACACACGCTTGTAATCCCAGTGGCTAGGGAGGCTGAGGCAGGAAGATCGTGAATTCAAAGCCAGCCTCAGCAAAAGCAAAGCGCTAAGCAACTCACTGAGAACTGTCTCTAAATAAAATAAAAAATAGGGCTGAGGATGTGGCTTAGTGGTGGAGTGCCTCTGAGCTCAATCCCCAGTACCCAGCCCCCAATCAAAAAAAATTGGTCTGTGATCTCTAGGGTCCAATGTTACTCTAAAATTAACTTTTCTATACTCTAAAATGAGACATGTATTCATATCCTATAAGGTATCTGTGCTTTCCTGTATCTTGTTTTGTGGCCAAAATCAGATCTTCTAGGAACAGAAACTAAATTTTTTATAGTTCTCTACTAAACAGTGGCTAACAATGGATCATCTTTTAACAATGTAACAGAAAATATAAATGAATCTGTGAATTGACTTCCTTTCTCCACTTTTGTAATGATAAATGAAGCTGGTCTCATAACTTAAGTTCTATATTACCTACCTAACAATAGCAAAGACTATTACCTTTAGAGCTGATGTTTATCTAGACAAGGTATGAAGAACAAGCTAGTCCCACCAAATTTTAACAAATTACTCTGATACTGTAAAATGTTGTAGATACTTAAAGGAAATTGGTTACTTATGGTATTATTTTGACACTGTATTAACATTTAGATATTAAGCTTTTAACTTTTCACTTTAAATTTTTTTATAATTTTTATTTTTGTTTTAATTATACATGACAGTAGAATGAAATTATATACTTCAATATATCATACATAGATGAGATATAATTTTTCTGAGTGTACATGTTGCAGAATTATATTGGTAATATAGTCACATATACACATAACAGTAATAATGTCTGTTTCATTTTACTATCTTCCCTATCTACCCATCCCCTCCCTTCCCCTTTCATCACTTCCCTCTACCTAATCTAAGGTAATGCTATTCTTCCTTAGTGCCCCCTGTCTTATTGTGAATTAGCATCCACATATTAGAGAAAC